TCACCAAACCTGATTTAATGCAGAAAAAGATGCACATTTTCTGCTATGTAGCTTTAAAGGCGTTTTTATGTGTCACCAACTTGATTTAGATGCACATTTTCTGCTATTTCTGGTGAGGTATTGCACTAAAAACCACTAAAAGGTGAGCTGGCTGGGGTGCCCATTCAACACATGGGAATAACGAGAGTGTAGCCACAAAGACTTTGCAGATCTGACTCTGGGAGAGTGAGTAAGGCTAACTGAATCCTACTGAATCAGCCCCCTGTCATGGACACAGTCTGTCCGGAATAGAAACCCTTTTCTGGATGATCTGAAGGGCCTGTTCCTGTGGACGGGATCTGGACACATTTGGGGCGTTTCTGGCTTGAGATCATGTGTAATCAAGCTGGACCTTGGCTTCTCCGGACATCATTCACTGCTAAAAATAAATAACAACAGCAGCAGTTTTGCAATAACCCTGTAGTAAACAAGCCCTTCTCCTCTAATCAACAGGTCACGTGACCCCCTGAGCTTCATAAGCATACAGTACCTGGACAGGAGGAGTATTTACCTGGAATATTGAGTAACCTCCTGGGTAATTGACTTTTGATTGGCCTCATAAGATAATAGTAATGTAATTAGTGACGACACCTCCCGGAAAGACTCAGTTCTTTGACGTCCCTGTTAAAAGCACTGTTCTTCTTCGTCTTTTTTCATGTATTTTCTGCTGTCAGACTGGTTTACTTCATCCATTTTCGATACACCTGCTAACAGAGGAGGCCCCTCATCCGCTCAGCCTGCGTCTCAAGACAGGACAACACTCCCGGTTTATCCCCTAACCAAGATATACCAGTCTAACAGCCATAGGAAATAGGCTTTTAAAGCCAAATAGGAGGCAGCGACCAGTTAAAACCCAACAGGAAATCCAGTGGTCAGATATTAGAGCTGCCCTACGCCATTCCAGGGAATATGAAGGCTTTAGCTTAACGTCCTGGCCTTCTTCTCATTAAAAATCTGTTCTAATATTGACTTCCGAGATTTAAAGAAGCGTCTAAAACTACTAAAATTACTTTGGTGTTTAATCTGCATGCGTATCAACGCGTAGTGTGTCGTAAATTTGTTGTCGTGACAGCTGTTTGCTCAATATTTGTTAGGGTAGCAATGCTAGCTGCGGTTCGTTTAGCTAGCCAGGCTAGCTGTGGCTAGCATGCTAACACCCCCACCCTCGACGCAAACAGGACAAAAGGCCCAACATCTGCCAGTGTTCGCCAAAGTGATGCGGGGAAAAGCTTTAGACTATATCTGTTTTAATTTCTCGTCACGGACAGCGACTGTCACATTGTTCAGATATGTTAATAGGCAATAATTGGAGCTGTCATCCCACCCCTCGCGTCTCCGCTTTTACCACGTCATTGGACCATCCAACACTGCGGAAATACACCGCTACTAGCTTCAAGCTAGCCGATGCTAACGAGCTAGCCGGATGCTAACAGGCTAGCACTGGCCGTAGCTTACCCGTGTCACCGATGATGATGTATTTGAAGAGGTACGCGTACGCCATGGTCCCTGGTTGGTGCAGGTAGCCGTTTCAACCGTTACACCTTTGCAAAACAGCGCGTGAACCTGGTGGAAATAGCGGCTGACAGCTCGTTAGCCGGATTTTTTCCCTGTCGGCGCTCAGGAAGGAACAATAAACAGCCAGAGCTCCGGGTGACGTCACACGGTCCGCCCTCGCCACGCTACAAAATGGGGCGTTCAGGGTCCGCTCGGAAACCTTAAAACGCACACATCACTTTCGATTTTTAACAAAAAATCCTTATTTTTCAACATAGAAAAGGCAACCGGTTGTGTTGCAGCACTCTTAGACATTGATTAAGCAAATACCCGTATAGATCCTGGATTTGATTGAGTCTACATTTGATTGTAGTGATTTAATATTCTGACCCCAACATGAAAATGTCCAAATACCTAAGCCCTTGCACTCCAGCTGGAAGCAATTCCAAACCAGGGCACCATGATAATATAATATGATACTCTCTTTAAGTATCACCCAGTCCCAGAGGAGCCAGAGGGACAGGATTTGCTCACAAACACTTTGGTGAAATCTGAGTTTTGGGTGACTCAGAAAGCTGCGGAAAGCTGAGTGTGTGAGGAAGAAAATGGCTGTTGACTTCATCATCACTGACATTAAGATGATCACGATTAAGGCTGTAGTTTAACCACCGATGATTGCTGCAGATTCTTAAGGAGAAGGGAAATTCCTCCATTTTCTGGGTTTCCATGGTGATGTAAGATCCAGACTGAGTGGCATGTTGTGATATTATGATAAAGGAAGGCTGTTTTTATTCCAGTGTGATTTCAAATGGCTCTGAACAGCCATCTAGAAGTAATAAACTGAAGAGTTATTGTGAAAATAACTTGAATTAAAAGTCCATTTTGCTCATAAACTGACACAATTTGCATCAGTTAATTTTCTGTAAGTATCTCTAGTTTGACTTCATGTGTTTTTCAATGCTTTTTTTTCATAAAAAAGTAACTATTCAGATAATTAATCTTTAAGGGGTGCGATGCCAAATGGCTCCCTAATGAAAACAGTCATTTCTTGTATGATATTCTGTCCTTAGCACCTAAAATGCCTCCAGTAGACGGTTAGTTTTTAAAAGAGTCAGAAGATAAAGATTCATTTATTTTAACACAACATATGTAACAAAGACGGCTGATGTTTCCTAGCAGTTTGTGAGGCTGTGTGCTGTAATAATAGATAAGTATTTATCTGTAAACAGCTAAATCTGAATAGTTACATACAGCTCAGCTCCACTTGATGGCAGCAAGTAGAAAGAAACCAGTCTCTCTCCAATCTGAACTCCAGATTTGAGATTTACACTTCCAGTGAGTCTGCAGTCAAACTGAAACTACTTATAGAACTATTTACTGTATAATTACACATTAAATACATGTATTTATTTATATTCAGCTCATCTGACGTCTGAAGGTGTGAATCAGCTTTGGAGGCCCCTCAGTTTTGGCCCAGAATTATTCTAAAGCTGACTTATGATGTCATTATTTTTGTCAGAAGTAGTGAAAATAACAATGACATATTCAGCTATTTCTAAATGAATTACTTTTCTTCTGTCACGTTATTATTTAGAAACACTGTTTATTTTCATCTTTATAGGAGACACAATGCATTTGAAAGTAGATAAGAATGATTTTAAAAGTGAATTTAAATGGTTATGATATTAATTCTGCTTACTATTGTGGGGAGTTTAGGGGCTTCTTGTGTTGGTTCTATTGTAATATTGTATTCTAGGGGCCCTGTCCTTTGTTTAAAGTCATTTAAACCTCCTGATGTAGTTCAGAGAGGTTGCTAGTTCTTCTTTTGGATCTACGTGGAACCAGGGGAGCCTGCCTCCATTTAGGACAGTTTCCAGATAAAGAATGTAGGGCAATTAAAGGCAGCAGCCTGGAGGATGAGAAAAGAAATTAAAGAGGGACGATTAACAGGTTATTCCCTTTAAGTTTCTTTACAATAGACCCACATTTGGAGTCCCAGCTCTCTCTAACCTGCTTCTCATGGCTTCTCCCAAAAGTGGATGAGAAAGTAAGAAGCCATTATCGGAATTGGCCTTTTTATTCTCACTGTCCTGCTGCTTTTTGTGTATTTTCTTGTGGCCTGAACCCCCCCGAAACAGCAGAGAGGCTGTAAGAACATACGAAACCAACCAAACTAACATTATACAAGGAAACCAGAGCTCATGGACCTTCCCTTTTCACTTCCACAGAGGGAAAATAAACCCTAATCTGTCATTGTTTGGGCCAAAGCCAAAGTAAGTGGGCCCACCTAGAGTCTGTAGGGGCAAAAGAGAGGCGTTAAGAAAGAGAGAATACAGGATGGATTATAGAGCAGAGAGAGAGAGAGAGAGAGAGAGAGAGAGAGAGAGAGAGAGAGAGAGAGAGAGAGAGGAGGAGCCAGAGAGGGAGAAACAGAGTCAGAGCTCTGAGCTCACATCAGCCAGAGGGAGGACGAGAGGAGAGGAGAGATTTAAAGGGAAATAAAGAGAGGGACAGAGAGAGAGAGAGCTGGTTTAGAAGTTTGGGCCATGGCTGACAATGTGAACGAAGAGTCGGATTATATTCCCGGGAAAGATGAGCTGGACTGGGGCTACGAGGAAGGTAAGACGGACTAATTTATCTGAGATTATACAGAGAACTCCATAATTATTGGCACCCCTATTTAAGATGTGGTTGAGGACTTCTAGAAATTCTCTTTTTTTTTAAAACAACATAGAAATCAATAGGAAAAAAAAAGAAAAATCCAACTTTTTATTTGGTGGTAAAAATAAAATCACATAATTTAGAAAATAAAAAAGGTGAAATCACGTGTCCCACAATTATTGCCCCCCCTAACAGTTATGCTGGAAAATGTAATTGATTTCCTTTAAGTATATTTTTCTGTAGATGCTAAAGTTGGAACTTTTAATTAGTAATTCATGACTTCCTGTTTCCCTGGAGTATAAATATGACCATTTCACGTTTTTTATTTTCTTAACCTGTGATTTTATTTTTACCACCAAAGTAATGAACTTAAATAAAAGGTTGAATTTTTCCCTTTTTTTCATTTGGGTTTTTTGTTGTTTTTTAAAAAAAGATCATTTTTCGAAGTCCTCAACCACATCATAAAAATGGGTTTAATGTAGATGGAGGGGAAACCAAAACCTTGTTGTTTTACAGAAAGTGGATCAGTGGTTTTACTGATTTGTTACAGATTTTTGTTGTTGTTTTTATAATGTTTTATGCATCTTTTACATGCTGATTCCAGAAATGTCACATTTTCTGAAGAGCTCATCCACCAAACTGTCTGTCTGTCTGCTGTTTCTTTTCCTTCTTTCTGTTCTGCTGCGTTTACTGAGAACTGGAGGATGTAAAGTGACTCTGATTCTGTGATTCTGCCTGTAAGTATTCTGATAAGCTTCATTTGCATAGATAAAGGACGAGAGCACAAGTTATTGTTAATGTTCAGAAAGGAACAGAAACCCAGCAGGAAGCTGATGTCCAGCCATTCGTTTTCTTCTGAGAATCATGTTTCACTTCAGGTTAAATCAGGTTAAACTATATTAAACCTGATGAAGGTAAAGGCATGTTCAGTGGTCAGCTTCCTATTATAAGAGAGGAGTATTTTCTAGTTAAAGTTATAAAGAGCAACATCCGCTAGTCCCCAAAGAACCACAGAACTGTCCAAAAGTTTGTTACTTCCTGTAGTGGAACCAGACTTTACAGCTTAGGTGTTCAAATAGTTGATTAACTCTTTAAATAGTTGATTAAAGAGTAATTAAAGATCCCCAAAGAACCAACGAAGTGTCCAAAAGTCAGTTATTTCCTGTAGTGGAACCAGACTTTACAGCTTAAGTGTTCAAATAGTTGATTAAAGAATAATCAAAGAAGGATTTAAGATAAACTCTGGGTTTTCTTATCCACGTTAGAGTAGAAAAACTTCACTTCTTGAGCCTAAAAAGTCCCACACAGAGAGTTTTTTCAGCCCAGAGAAACACTGGCTGCCTTCAGAAAACTGTTGTCAGGGTTTTAGTTGCTGAGGAAAGAGGGAATGTGACTGCTCTCTTTCTAAAAGAAAAAAGAGCCGGCCAACTCTTTTAAACCTGGTGAGCCAGAGACTGAACTGTAACTGTGACTCTGAGGAGGTTTAGCATCAGATTCTGCCATCAGGAGTTAGTGAATTATTCTAAATACGTGTGGAAAGCAGCAGTGTTGAGTTTGTGATTGTGGTTGTTTTTGGTTTCCGGAGTTTTGGTCAGTGAGACAATAGTGATTTAATCTGCTGTAACTCCACTTGCTTGCAGATATTCTTTAAGATTCTTTAAGAAACTCGTCCCAGATCAGATCGTCTGACCTTATTTCTGCAGCCACAACCTGATTTTTTCTGCTTTCTGACTTCCTCCCGTTTGATATTTTCTGTCTGATGAGTCCAAACTCGTCAGGGTGATTTAGTTACCGTTTCCAGTTTAATGCGTTACAGAAAACGTCCTTTTTCCCTCTAAGATGACCAGAATTATCTCTCTTTTCTTTAAGTTAAACTCCTGAGTCTGCTCTCAGTTCAGGTTTTGTTATTTTCCCCTTAAAAACAAAGGACCAGTTCTCATATTACCATCAACTCTACGCCTTTCTTCTTCTTTATAAAAACTACACTACTGGGGTTTATATTACGTCTTATTTTCCAATCTTTGTCAGATTGCATGAGTTTTTCTTTCTCTCGTTTTATTGTGTGTTGGCTGATTGATAGATTGATTTATTTTTTATTTATTTATTTATTTGCTTATTACAATATTTTTTATTTATTTATTCATTTATTCATTTATTTATTTTGATTGTTTAGAGTTTCTATTTCAGTCATTTATAATCCTATTAGTCATCTTGTCTGCTAACATTTAATCTCTTCAGAAGTTAAACCTGAACCCTAAAACTTTTGTTTGACTGACTTAAAAGTGGAAGATGACCAGTCCAAACAGAAGTTATTACAGTCAAATGGTGAATAAAGTAAAAATATAGGAAATAAAAGGGACTCTTCCCTCTGCTCTGAACCTGTATGGATTCATTTATCTGCTTTTTGTGGACGGAAAAGTCCGAATTTGTGCTGTAAACAGAGATACTTTGACCTGTTTGTGTTAAAGGAAAACACCTGGTCTGTGTGGTTTGCCAGGTGTAGAATGGGGACTCCATTTCCCAGCAGCCAACGGGGAGTACCAGTCTCCCATCAACCTGAACTCGCGGGAGGCCCAGTACGACCCCTCCCTGCTGGACGTGGGTTTATCGCCCAACTACGTGGTCTGCCGGGACTGTGAGGTCATCAACGATGGACACACCGTACGCATCCTCCTCAAGTCCAAGTCAGGTGACCAAACAACACAGAACCCAAATGGAAAAAAAGAGAAAAATACAAGCTTTTATTTAAGTTCATTACTTTGGTGGTAGAAATAAAATCACACATTTAGAAAATAGAAAAGGTGAAATCACGTGCCCAAAAATATTTGGAACCCCTATTTAAGATGTGGTTGAGGATTCCTACAAATTCTCCATTTTTTTTAAACAACATAGAACCCAAATGAATAAAAAGATAAAAATCCAACCTTTTATTTAAGTTCATTACTTTGGTGGTAACAATAAAATCACAAGTTTAGAAAATAAAAAACGTAAAAATCACGTGGCCGAAAATTATTGGTAATGAACTTAAATAAAAGGTTGGATTTTTCTCTTTTTTTTCATTTTGTTGTTTTGTAACAAAGGAGAATTTTTAGAAGTCCTCAACCACATCATAAACAGGGGCACTGTACATCCTTTTTATAAATGTGTTGACACAGAATAAACAGAATAAACAGAATAAAGGAATAAACTGAATACAGAGAATAAACAGAATAAACAGAATAAACAGAATAAACTGAATAAACTGAATAAACTGAATAAACTGAATAAACTGAATACAGAGAATAAACAGAATAAAAAGAATACAGAGAATAAAGAAATTAACTGAATAAACAGAATAAACAGAATAAACTGAATAAACTGAATAAACTGAATAAACTGAATAACCTGAATAAACAGAATAAACTTAATATTCTGCATGACTCCCCAGGTTCCCAGTTCTCTGTCCTGTTTAACCTGTTTATGTTTATGTTTATGTTTATGTTTCTATTTATTTTTTGTGTCTCCAGTGGTGACCGGGGGCCCCCTGCCCAGCGACCACGAGTTTGAGCTGCACGAGGTGCGCTTCCACTGGGGAAAAGAGAACCAGAGGGGCTCCGAACACACCGTCAACTTCAAAGCCTTCCCCATGGAGGTAAAACCCAAAACCAGCCCCAACAGAGAGAGAAAAGGGTCAAGGCCCGGTCTGGATTTATTTAGTCCTCTGACGCTGAGTTTGTCCTTCTTTAGATAGATTTGTAGCTTTCTGAGGCCTTGAACAGAAAGTAGTTTTCCTTCTCTGGAAACAGTTGTGTTGTTTTACACTTTAAGATAGAAGTGCGTTTGAAAGTGTGTATGGGAAATTATTCTGAGGGATTTTTCAAGAGAATTAAAACACTTTTGCAAATATTTATATCTCAGTTAAGTTGTGATTATTCAGGCCAAAGCTTTCAATTTGACTATAAATTCTGCTGTATAAACTAGTAAATAAGACATACTAGTGAATAAAAAATATTTAAAAAATAGCTATTTTAGCATAGAAGAGGGAGGTTTGATATAAATATTTAGAAAGATCCGTGATACACTACAAACATTTTCTTTTTTTTTTAGCTTTGCAACAATATTTGCATTAGAAAAATCCAAGAATATGCTAAATAAAAGCCAAAAAAGACGTAAAGTCCAAAGATACTGAGGCAAGCTGCCCCAAATAAATCACCAGCATTCAACTTTATTTAATTAAATGCAATAAAGCTTAAGGAAAACGACAAATTCTGCTGTACAAATTACAGTGCAGTATTTTTGGGGGAGCCAGTAAAACACGTGATTTTACCTTTTTTTATTTTCTAAACGTGTGATTTTATTTTTACCACCAAAGTAATGAACTTAAATAAAAGGTTAGATTTTTTCTCTTTTTTTTCATTTGGGTTCTATGTTGTTTTTAAAAAAAAAGAGAATTTTTAGAAGTCCTCAACCACATCTTAATAATAAAAATAATGACCCAAACTGGTGAGTTTTTAGAGGCTAAACATTTGAACGGGCAGAAGAACTCGTTCTGACAAAGTCCTGTTGTCTTTCTGAGTTTTTGTTTGGTTTCAGAACGAATATCTCTTAAAACAGTGACCTATAAAGGCCAACGTGTGGGTCCCAGATATCACAATAACACACAAACACAGCTGGCATTTAGCCGGACCTAAAGGTCAACAACAAAATCTGATGATACTTCATTTTGTTTTTGTTCTTCACGTTTATCCAATCGTGGTACAATTTATACTATTAAATTAAATTAAATGAAATGAAATAAAATTAAATTAAATTAAATTAAATTAAATTAAATTAAATTAAATTAA